GCTTTATAGGTATTAAAGGGAATCAAGAGAAAACAGATGGAACTGGCAAGGGACCCTCGCCCCCTTCCTGCTCCCCTTCCCACTCCCCTTGCAAAACTCCCTGTTAGCAGCCCCTGTTTGCAAAGCTCCCTGGTCGCTTGTGCGCTGCTTTATAAAGCCCTGGCCTGTATGAATGCTCCGCCCACTGATGAAGGCTCAGCCACTTACCAGAGGCTTCTAGCTTTCAAACCTTCCAACTGCCAGCCACAGCACACGGTCCTTCAAACAACCAAAACAAACAAACAGACTGACAAACACAAGCTCAGCACACAGCAAGTAACCCTCAAACACAAACAAACACACACTACAGACAGTCACTTACCCCAAAAGGGTGCTGTATTGCTCCTCCTTCACCTGGAGAACTTCCTTGCGAAACTCCCTCTCTGATTCCTTAGATCCTGTTTGCTTTTTTGACCGCCTCTGCACACTGCGTGGACATTTTCAGAGAACTATCCACGATGACTCCAAGATCTTTTTCGTGACTTGTTGTAGCTAAATTAGCCCCCATCATATTGTATGTATAGTTGGGGTTATTTTTTCCAATGTGCATTACTTTACATTTATCCACATGAAATTTCATTTGCCATTTTGTTGCCCAATCACTTAGTTTTGTGAGATCTTTTTGAAGTTCTTCACAGTCTGCTTTGGACTTAACTATCTTTAGCAGTTTAGTATCATCTGCAAACTTTGCCACCTCACTGTTTACCCCTTTCTCCAGATCATTTATGAATAAGTTGGATAGGATCGGTCCGAGGACTGACCCTTGGGGAACACCACTAGGTACCCCTCTCCATTCTGAGAATTTACCATTTATTCCTACCCTTTGTTCCCTCTCTTTTAACCAGTTCTCAATCCATGAAAGGACCTTCCCTTTTATCCCATGTCAGCTGAATTTACATAAGAGCCTTTGGTGAGGGACCTTGTCAAAGGCTTTCTGGAAATCTAAGTATAGTATGTCCACTGGATCTCCCTGGTCCACATGTTTGTTGACCCCTTCAAAGAACTCTTAATAGATTAGTAAGACATGATTTCCCTTTACAGAAACCATGTTGACTATTGCTCAACAGTTTATGTTTTTCTATGTGTCGGACAATTTTATTCTTAACTATTGTTTCGACTAATTTGCCCGGTACAGACGTTAGACATACCAGTCTGTAATTGCTGGGATCACCTCTAGAGCCCTTTTTAAATATTGGCGTTACATTAGCTAACTTCCAGTCATTGGGTACAGAAGCCGATTTAAAGGACAGGTTACAAACCTTAGTTAACAGTTCTGCAACTTCACATTTGAATTCTTTCAGAACTCTTGGGTGAATGCCCTCTGGTCCCGGTGACTTGTTAATGTTAAGTTTATCAATTAATTCCAAAACCTCCTCTCGTGACACTTCAATCCGTGACGGTTCCTCAGATTTGTCACCTACAAAAGCCAGCTCAGGTTTGGGAATCTCCCTAACAGCCTCAGCCGTGAAGACTGAAGCAAAGAATCCATTTAGTTTCTCCACAATGACTTTATCGTCTTTAAGCGCTCCTTTTGTATCTCGATCATCAAGGAGCCCCATTGGTTGTTTAGCAGGCTTCCTGCTTCTGATGTACTTAAAAAACATTTTGTTATTACCTTTGGAGTTTTGGGCTAGCCGTTCTTCAAACTCCTCTTCAGCTTTTCTTATTACATTCTTGCACTTAATTTGGCAGCGTTTATGCTCCTTTCTATTTGTCTCACTAGCATTTGACTTCCACCTTTTAAAGGAAGTCTTTTTATCTCTCACTGCTTCTTTTACATGGTTGTTAAGTCACGGTGGCTCTCTTTTAGTTCTTTTACTGTGTTTCTTAATTTGGGGTATACATTGAAGTTGGGCCTCTATTATGGTGTCTTTAAAAAGTGCCCATGCAGCTTGCAGGGATTTCACTTTAGTCACTGTACCTTTTAACTTCTGTTTAACTAATCTTGCTTGGTTTCCCCCTTTTGAAATTAAATGCCACAGTGTTTGGCTGTTGAGATGGTCTTCCTACCACAGGGATGTTGAACGCTATTGTATTATCGTCACTATTTCCAAG